CAGGATGCGGGCTTTGGACCGGGACTGCTGTCACTGAGAATGGCTGGCCCGGGGAGTCACCCCATCTGCCCTGCCTCTGGGCCTCAGGGGTGGTGCTGGGCGTGGGGCCTGCCCGTGGGGGCTGCCCGTGGGGGCTCGGGGCATCAGTGTCTTCCCGGGTGGGGGCAGTGCGCGTATTGTGATGTTTTTGTTTATAAGAGATGTTTGCTATTTTAAGAAACAGTACTGGAGAAATACAAGTGACACACCCCGTGGATTATTGTTATTTGAGCTTGTCCTGAGCGCTTGCAGAGACCCAGCATCCATCCTGTTCTGTGAGGAGAGGTGCTTTCTATTCCCCCACATTTGACTTCTCTGGGCTGGAGCTGGTGACGCCCTGTGCGGGGAGGCGCCTGGTCTGTGCGCAGCTCTCGGGCCCTGGCGGGGTGCTGCGTGTGTGTGTCTGTGTGTGTGTGTGGGGGGTGCTGTGCGTGTGTAGGAGTGCTGCGCGTGTGTGGACCTCGCTGTCGCCTGGCCGCTCCCCCAGACCTGGGCTTCTGGCCAGCAATCCCCACTCCTTAGCCTGGTGCAGAGGGCCAGGGTCTCTGGTCAGCTGGTTTTGGAGCATCCTTGCCCTTAATAGGGGTCATTTTAGAAAATTGTAACCGTTTTTTTCCCCTGACTTGTCTCAGCAGTTGGTGGACACTATTGACATTTTACAGATGGGGGCCCTGGAGTTCTAGATGTAGTTAATTGACAGTTCCGCAATATAAAAACTCCTCCTGAGACCTGAGAAACTTCGGAATATCTTGCTAAATTATTTATGTGGATAGAAAAAAACAAACTTATGACTGAGTCTAGTATCTTATTGCATCAAAGGTTTTTTAAAATATATTTTTTGGATATATGTGGAATTTTCCAGGATCGCAGTTACTGCAGACACCGAGGGGAAGTTGTTCTCCGCTTTTTGAAGTGTGTTAGGGTTCTCCGGAGAGAGATGGAGCAGGAAATGGCAACCCACTCCAACATTCTTGCCTGGAGAATCCCATGGACTGTAGCTTGTCAGGCTCCTCTGTGCACGGGGTTGCACGAGTTGGACAGGACTTAACGATGGAGCCAGCCCCAGCAGCGGAGAGAGAACCAGCAGGACAGCAGCAGCCTTGTTAAAAGGGGTTGGCTTCCGCAGCGGCGGGGCTGAGTTGTCCCAAGGCCTGCAGTTGGCAGGCTGGGCCCCCCAGAGAGTTGGTAGCAGAAAACACCAACTTCCCACCTCAAGCCAGTGGGGAAGAGTTCCATCGGACTCCAGCCTTTTTGTTCCATTCACGTCTTCCCTTAGTTGGGTAAGGCCCACTGACATTAAGGAGAACAGTAAGCTTCACCCACCCGGTGAATCCAGTGATTGATCTCAGTCAGAAAAGCCTTTACACCCACAATACTCCGGCAAAATGTCTGGGTGCCCCATGGCTTAAGTTGACAGAAGATTAGCCATATCCCACAAGTGTGGTTCCCCTTTCAGAAAACGACGCTATTGGGAGCATTCATGGGAGATGGCGTGTACCTGAGTTGCCAGGACCTTGTGCCCAAGTCAGGACTGTTTGTACCTGTCATGGTGATTCAGCTCAGAGCTGTGGGTGTCTGACTGTTTAATTCCTAGTATAGTCTTGCTTGAGCAGTTATTTGTCGAAATTCACATGTGTTTTATTGTAAATCATTTTCATGTTGTTGGCACATTATGCAGACATTTTTAGAAAGAATGTGTGTCATAAAAAGGTTATCTTTGGATTTCATTTCAGCAGTAAAGGTGTGCTTACGTATTTGTTAGAGAGAGGGGATCCGGGCCTGGCGGCGAGAACCGCTGGCCCGAGAGAGCGCCCCGGACTCCGTGCTGCCGGACTCCCGGGCCGGCCCGCATCGCCGCACGCGGAGACCTGCTGCTGCGCTCGTCGCCTCCGACGCCTGCACAACCGCCGTCCTCCGCTTCATCTTGTCAGGCTTTCCAGCACTGCGGTCTGCTTTCCAGAAGCTCTGGTTTGATGCCATTGGTTTTCCTGCAGAATAGCAGTATTCAGAAGTAATTCACGTGCCACACAGCTCACCCACTAAAATGTAAAGTTTAGGAATTATCTGGCGATTCAGTGTTTAGAACCGCATGCTTTCACTGCCGAGGGCCTGAGGTCAAACCCTGAGCTGGGGAACTGAGATCCCGGAAGCCTCACAGTGCAGCCAGAAAATGATGTGAATTCAGTGGTTTTTAGTGCATTCACAGGGTCACCACCACCATAAGGCGAGTTTAGAATGTTTCATCCCGAATAGAAGCCTATGTCCATAGCAGTTAGTGCTCTGTCTCCCACCCCTAGTGAGCCTCCGTATGACTTTCTGCCTCTGGGTTGCGTTTTTCTGGAAAATTTGTTTAAGTGGGAGTCACGGAGTACATGTTCATTTGGATCTGGCTGCTTTTATCTGGTACAGTGTTTTCAAGGCTCGTGCATGTTGTGCCAGTTATGCCCAAGTGATAAACAGCCGGATGGATAGACCGCATTCTGCGAGTGTGTGTGCGCTCAGTCGTGTCCGACTCTTTGCTGCCCCCTGGGCTGTAGCCCACCAGGCTCCTCTGTCCATGGGGTTCCCCAGGCAAGGGTACTGCAGTGGGTGGCCATTCCCTTCTCCAGGGGATCTTCCCGATACAGGGATCGAACCCACCTCTCCTGCATTGGCAGGTGGATTCTTTACCACTGAGCCGCCTGGGAATCCCTTACATTCTGTTTATGCATGGTCAATTAATGGACATTTAAAATGGAAACAAAAAGTTATTTTGTATGCAGAAAGCATGTAAACAGGGAACTATATGATAATGTATATCCAGTAAGAAACAAATACATGCTAGTAAGTAAAAAGTTATTTAAATGCTAACAAAGAACTCTGTCATGGTTTAATTGGTAATTTTTGAGGTTCTTTGGGTTTTTTCCTTTTTTTTTTTTGATCATCATGCATAATGTTCCCGTGGACTTTTGTACATGTGTTTCTGTGTGGACAAATGTTTTCATTTCTCTTGGGTATGTATCAGTAGTGGAATTGCTGGGCCTGTGTTTACCACTTGAGGAACTGACAGACAGTGTTCCAAAGTGGCAACACTGGTTTGCGTTTCTGCCAGCAGCCTGTGAGGGCTCCAGTCATGCCACATCCTGGCCGACGTTTGTCACTGGCTCTCTCCTCGCTTGTAGCCATCCTCATGTGTGGGAAGCGGTTGTTCGCTTGCCTGTACCTCTGGGCAGAGACAGTGACGGTCGCACTAGGTGGATGTCAGGCGCTTAGGAGCCATGGGCAGCACAGATGGATACAGAACAGTTTCATTGTTGTAGTAAGGTCCCTTGGGTTGTGCTGACCTAGGAAAAGTTTAGAGAGTGGGAGCAGGGCTGAGTGGTGTGGGAAGGAGGGCTGCCCTGGAATTTGGAGCAGAGAAACTTATGGGAACCATTTACAAGACAAGAGACTTGGAAAAGAGAAGGTGATACAAAAGGAAAGTGAGAGGCTGAAGGAAAGGTTCTTAGGATTTGATTTTTCTACAAAATCAGCTCAGTGACAGGTCCAGCCACTCTCTTTCCTTGTACAGGTGGAGGAGCAGAGTTGCTGGTCGGCAGGGGTCAGCGTAACTGTGTTGCGTGTGTTCCGGGAAGCGTCTGTCTGGGTCAGTTTTGGTGTCCTCTGGGAGCCTGGAGCAAGCAGCTGGTGGATCTGAACTCGAGGGAGTGTCGGCCATGGGCCGAGCGCTCACGGGGTGCGGAGGAAGAAGGCTGCAAGCTTGGGAGCAAGCGGATGGTGATCTGACCAAGCGCGGTGTTTTCTGGACGGACTAGCTGAGAAGTTGGCTGAAGGCTGGAGAGGAGCCGGAGGTCCCACGTGCTCTGCTTGTGGTGTGTGGTGTTGGTCAGAGCGCTCTGTCTGCTCTGAGGCCTTGTCAAGGGGAGGTGGGGCGGGGCCCTTTGCTCTGTCTCACTGCTCCTGCCACCAGACCAGCTGGTGCAGCTTGTGTCAGGTCGGGCAAGATGAATCTGGAGCGTTGGAGCACAGTCTGGGTGAAGTGGTCGTTGAGGCTGTTGGAAGGAACCTTTTCTCTTCCAAGAGGTTATTCTGTGAGTTTCCCTTTATTTTTAATAGTGTGTAGAAACCGTCCTGAAACAGACCAACCTTTTTGCGCTCAGCGTCGCTGTATGTAAAGGACCTTGCATTCACAGCAGGCTTTCACTTCTGTTGGTTGTGTTACTTTCTCTACCCAGACCTGGCCAACGTGTCTCTCCAGACGTGATCTTACTGTAGAGGCTGCTTTCCGGCTCTGCTCATAGAGATGCATTAGGGCTTGTTCTGGCCTCAGTACTGTGTGCTGTTATTCCACGTCCTCCAAGCTGTGAAATCCAGTGTGCTCCACTTAGGGGGGAGGTTCCTGTCACGGCTCTTACAGGTGTATAGAATGCCTTTACTGGACGAAGCGTTGAGTCTTCTGTTCTGATAAGGCATTTTGGAGCTTCCTCTTGATAAAAGAGATATCCTGGGAAATATATTTAGATCCTGATATTGGAGTTTCTGGGCTGTCTGCTGGTTTATGTGCAATGTCACAACAAATATTTGAACCTAGGACTGTGCTGGATAATTTGGAAAGCGTGATCGCTGTGGAGACCTGTGAAGTGGCTGATGCTCGCTGCCAGGACGGTTGTTGCTTCTCTGCACATGTGTTGTGTTGGCTCATTCTGTTAGAGATCTGGGGTGTTCTTTGTACTGAGAGAACTGGAATGCAGAGTAACTTCAGATCAGTAGTGTTCAAGAAGGAAGTGCATTTTGATTAACAAGTCTAAGAATTTTTCCTCATTATTTTCTGTAACGACATCTAGCTTTCAGACATTTTTATTTCATGGTAAGATCCTTCAAAAACAAATTTCTAAAGCACTTTCTTGCAGTTTTGTTCTTGGTATAACGCCATTTCTCTCCACAGATTTGCCTGTAAATGCATCACGAAGAGGCAGCCCAGAATGAAGAAAGCAAGCCGGAGTGTTGGCTCAGCGCCTAAGGTGTCGGGGGTAAGCAGAGTGCAGGCGGCAGACAGAGCCAGGCCCGAGAGCAGCTCCTCAGCCTCTGCGGGCAGCAGACCCGTGAAGCCTGGGGCCACAGCAGCCCTGTCGAAGGTATTCACGTGACATGTTCACATGCGTGGCGGGTGTGGGAGGGGCGCATCTACCTGCGAGGCCTGAGCTCACACGCGTGGCGGGTGTGGGAGGGGTGCATCTACCTGCGAGGCCTGAGCTCACGTGCGCGGCGGGTGTGGGAGGGGCGCATCTACCTGCGAGGCCTGAGCTCACACGCGTGGCGGGTGTGGGAGGGGCGCATCTCCCTGCGAGGCCTGAGCTCACGCGCGTGGTGGGTGTGGGAGGGGCGCATCTCCCTGCGAGGCCTGAGCTCACGCGCGTGGCGGGTGTGGGAGGGGTGCACCCCTGCGAGGCCTGAACTCCACAGGCGTTGTGTCGCTGGGGCTCCGCTGTGAACTGCCTGTGAGGGGCTCACGGTGTGGGGGGCTTCACTGGTGCTCGGGCTGTCTTCAGCGGCGACACCCAGTGACAGCTGGCTTGCGAGCAGAGTGCTGTGCCTGCGGGGAAGAGGCCCCTTCCAGGAGCCCATGGAACGCGGTGTGGAGGCGAGTCGTTTGCAGGAATAGCTCGAGTACCGAGAAACGGTCGGCTATCTGGGGGAGCAGGAGAGCGGTGTGCGCCGTTTCCAGCAGGGGAACGCTGTTTCTGCCTGAGGAGGCTTGATGGGGCGCGCAAGGTCTGGCCAGATGGCCAGTGCGACGTTCCTGAACCCACACGGGTTCTTCTTCCTGCCCCCTCGTTTAATACACTGCCCTGAAGACTGTGCTAATCCAGTATTAATCCCACGTAGAACTGGGTGGTATTAGTGTAGTTAGAGTGTGACTGGTTTTCTCGTTACACCCCTTCCTTTGGAGGCTGGTTTTCTCCTTGTCGTCATGGGGAGTGAGGTGTTGGAGCTGGGCTTCGGGGGCAGGCTGGCCAGGCTGGCCGTGTGCGCCCTCGGGCTGTGGTCAGAAGGCAGCGGTGCGCAGGGCCTGGCTGAGGGCCGGGCCTTTGTGAGTGATGGCAGCAGGGTTTCTGCGGCTCAGCCCGGGAAGCTTCCTCGGCCCACGAGTCCCTCCTGACGGCGGCAGCCTCCCCGTGCTGCTCTCAGTGTCCGAGAGACTGCCCGTGCCTTTTCTGCTGGCCTGGCGTTTGGTTCGGTGGACAGAGAGCCCCGTGGTCTGCCTCCAGTGTCTCAGGCCAGAATTCATTGTTTATTCTTTGCTTGCTTGTTCTGAGGTGGAAGCTTTGCCTCTGCAGAAACCTGGAGAGTGTTGCTGCTTGTCTGATGGGGAGAAAGCAAGCGGTGCCTGAAACACACTCTGTCCAGAAGCCTCTGTCCACGCAGTGCTTCACAGATGTGACTTAACTATTTTAAGAGCACCTGACAGGGCACCTCGCAGGAACAGCTGATGAGGGACTTCCTCATATGTGTGGAAAGATCTAGCAGGATGTGCTAGTTTTTCTATCCCTAGGTTGTCGAACCTGAAGACAGACTCATTCCAGGGGCTGGGAGATGCCCCCAGGTTTCTCCTCGCCACTGCCTTGCTGAGTGGCCGGGTGTCACCCTGTGACCCTGGGGTGGTACCCGGAGTTGACCTTTGCCCTGCTTCTTCAGTCTGAATCAGCACGCTGAGCCATTTCCTCTGTGACAGAGCTGCCTGTCCTGCCGGTCACTCAGTTGCTGGGCTGTCTTTGCAGCGAAGTGCCTGTGGAGCTGGGTGACCTGTGACTTAGGCGGCTGGAGGAGCAGGTTGAAGCGTTGGCATGGGACGTGCGTACTGCCAGCCGGTTGCCGCCTCCTCGCTGGCAGGCAGTCTCTGCGGCTCACTCTGGAGCGCGCCCTGAGCGTGTCAGGGCTCGGGAGGCGTGGAGCCCGTTGAGGGCACCTGGGCTTGAGCAGTGAGTGCTGCTCCGCCGTACGGCGGGGAGAGCTGCGTTCTTGCTGTGCCAGTGTCTGTGGCTTGGCCCCGCTCAGCTGGCTGACTTTCACGGGTTGTGTGTGCGCGCTGGGGAGGGGCGTGCAAGAGGCGATGCTGTTTGGAGACAGTTCCCCTTACTGCAGCAAGTGCTTTCATTTAAGAAGGACAAAGGGTCGTTGAAGAGAAGTTGGAGTGAAAAGGTAGGAAGGAAAGAAGAAAGTAGTGAAAATGGAAAAATTGGAAAAAGCAAAAGGGCTTGGAGAGCCCACAAACCTAAGGGTTACTTTGTCTCTCCTCCATGTTACACTGTGCTTCTTCAGTATATGGTCACTTCCCACAACCCGAATTCATCCCTATAACTGATTAGCCTTGATGGTTAACCCCAGGAATGAAGTGCTCGACTTTTAATCACTTGGGTGCCGCGTGCACACACCAGCTCCTGTGGACACCCACACGAGCTCTGTCACTGCCCAGGGCTCACGGAACATGTGCACTGTTCTTGCAGTTGTGGGGTGTGGAGATGTGCCTTTCTTTTTTAAAAAGTAATTTATTCCTTCTTTGCCGGCCTGGGTCTTCACTCCTGTGTGCAGGCTTGCTCTAGCTGCAATGGGGGAGGGCCTGTCTCGAGTTGCAGTGCGCAGGCTTCTCGCTGTGGGGCGCGGGCTTCAGCCCCCAGGCTCCAGCAGCTGCAGCATGGTTTCCGCAGGCACGGCCTGCAGGAGTTGCAGCTCAAGGCTTCCGTTCCTTTGTGGCCTGGGATCTTTCCAGGCCAGGGACTGAGCCCGTGCCCCATGTGTCGGCATGCGGGCCCTCCCCCACTGCACTACCAGGGGCCCCGCTCCTCTCTGCCTGTGGTTTTGGCTGCAACCCAGGATGGAACCCAGCCCCGCGTGGAAAGTGCCCGTTCCTCGCCACTGGACTGCCGGGAGTCCCAAGTCTATGTGCTTCTTTACTTCTTGTTTCAAAGGTTGTGGCTAGATTTAGTGAGATGCAGAGAAAGGCCACTTCACCTTAGCAGGCAAAACTTTTGAATCTTTATTCAAAAAAAAAATCTATTTGTTTATTTTTGGCTGTGGTGGGTCTTGGATGCGGTTCGGGCTCTCTTGTCGCGGTACATGAGCTTCCTGTTGTGCTGGCTTCTCTTGTGGCAGGGCACGGGCTCTAGGCCCTGGGCTTCAGCAGCTGCGGCGCTGAATATTCTTTCTCATTTCTAGGAGAAGTAAAATCAGATTTCTTCACTTTTTTTTCTTAAATAGTAAATTTATGCCCTAACCCAGTTATCTTAGAGTACTTGTTTTCTTTTTAAAAAGCTCACATGTTTTTCAGTCATCTTCGTAAAACATAAATAAATCAAATGGTCTTTCTCAAGTAGAATGGTCATTTAACCCTCACTGTAACCATAAAGTCTCTAGTTTTTTATTTGTATGTTATGTGGGCTTTTTAAAAAATACCCTTCTTTCAATTTTGGCTTAGGCTACCAAAAAAAAAAAATAGATAAAGGTTAAAAAAGTATATTTCAGAGTAACTTCTATTAGATGTTGGCTCTGTCACTGGATCACTTCAGAGCAGTGGAGGTTCTTCCTCACTCTTAATGACGCTTCTCTAGAAACTGGCAGATGGCGCATGGTGCGACTCCACGGCTGCTGTTGGAGACTCACAGCCTAGATGAGGGGTAGCAAGTAGGGTGTCATCACTTCCTCTCACCCCTCACTGAATCTGGCATGTGGGGGCATATGGTGGGCTCCCATGACATCTTTGAGTACATTGTGATTTTCACATTTTTAAAAAGAAGTTGCAGTTGTTTATGAGCCAGCAAGAAGGTTCCGTTTCTGCAGCACCAAGGGATGCGCTGCCTGGTAGCTGCCAGGAGGTCTTTGCAGAGGTGTTGGACTCAGCCCGAAAGTCAAGGGCTTTGTTTAGGGTCAGAATGTTATTTAGTCTCACTTTATCTAATCAGTTTGTTGTTAATCTTCTGTTGCTTCTAGACCAAGAGCAGTGATGACCTTTTAGCTGGGATGGCTGGAGGGCTGACCGTGACCAATGGTGTCAAAGGGAAGAAGAACGCCTGCTCTTCCAGCGCGCCACCTGCGCCCGCCTCTGCCATGAGCGCCGCGGAGAACAGGCCGAGGACCAGCACAGGTGCGCGCTCGGCGGGCTCACGCTGCCCTGTCCCGCAGGCAGGGCGGCGGTGCTCAGGGACCGCCGTTCGGCCCTGGGGAACGGCTGTGGCGTTCCATCTCCACCCTGCCACTTGGGCCCCTTGACACCCACCTCAGTTCCAGGTGTCATCTTCACAGATCTGATTCTCTCTGAAAGAGAAGGCTCTTTTAAAAACACATTCACAATGCCATTATCAGGCCTTAAAGTGATCATTTCTCAAATCGCTACTCATTCAGTAAAAGTATTTGGATTTCCGCTATTTCATCACTGCTGCACACATGCACTTGCTTGCTTGTCTGGGGTAGGGGTCACCAGGGGTCATTGAGGCCCACATGTGGCCGTTGCTGGCGTTCTCCTCAGTCCTCATGTTTAAATCTGGGACTTTACCACCCCCCCTTTTTTCCCTCACAATTTAGCTTTTGTAGGAACTGGTTGTTTGACCTATAGAGTTTCTGGATTTTATTTCCTTCTCTTTGGCCACGTCATGCGGCTTGCATGATCTTAGTTCCCTCACCAGGGATCGAACCCAGGCCCCAGTAGTGAAAGCACAGAGTCCTAACCACTGGACCTCCAGGGAATTCCCTCTCGTGGTCTGGATTTTGGTATCGCACTCCTGCGATGCCCATGACCGTGTTCCTGTGTTCTCTCTGTTACTGTCAGTGTCCCTGCGTTTGGAGCCTTGATGGGACAGATTTAGGCTCCTCCCGTCCTCCCGCCCGCTCCTTCACACGGGACCGTCGTCTGTCCATCAGACGGCCCGTGGTTTCTGGCTGTCTCCGCTCCCTGACATTAGCAGCCTCTGATAGTCAGTGCCCAGATCCATTCATTCCAGTCCTGCCGTTCTTTCTTCCTGCATTAGCAGCGGTTTTTTTTTTTAAGATCTCATTCTCTAGTCCAGGGAGTAACACTTCATATGTTGCTTCTTACACTGAAAGAAAAAAACTTGGAAACGTCCAGTAGTCTTAGGATACTATGTTTGTATTTAAGTGTGTGAAAACGGAGCGGCAGGCGCTCGCCTGCTCTCGTCGTTCAGGTTCTTGTCCCCGCTGTGTGTGCTGGACTTCCTCCTCGGCTGGGTGTGCCAGCTGTCCCCCCGCCTTGACCTTCTGTGGCCTCTTCCTTCCACTCAGACCCTGGCGCACGCTGACTGCAGCGGCGTGGTCACCAGGAGGGGACGAGGACAGCCTTACTTGGCTCTTCTTCTCCTCACCGCAGCCCCGGAGGGCGAGGCCATTCTCAGAGGTGTCATTTAGAGGCTTCTCAGCTCAGCATCGTGCGAACCATGCACTCATCCGCCCGGCAAGTGCTTCCCGGGCGCCCGTCCTGTGCCAGCCTCAGAGCTGATGATGGAGCACCCTGGACCGTAGGTCTCCACCCTGGAGCCCGGGTCATTACACATTTAATGCTCCGGCTTGTGTGGTGAAAAGGAGGTCCAGGACTCTGACCCCTCATACCCCCTCCCTGCCCCCGGGCTTCAGAGTTTCCCTGTGTGCAGACACACGCTTCCCTGCTGGCCCGCCTCCCGCCCTCGCGGGCTGCATCCAGTGGTCACCTCCCCAGGCCCTTTCCCAGCCTCCGTTTGCAGTCTCTCCGCTGCCCTTGAAATCTAGTGCAGATTCATTATCCCCTCTCTGTTCTTGCAGAGAGCGGGCTCTTCTCCACGAACGTGGCCTCCCTCTGCTTCACTGCTCTGTCTCCCACACTCCTGCTGCTCTTCCTCCTCCTGCTTCACGAGGCGTCCTCTGGCTTCCTCTCCACCAGAGTGCTCGTCTGCCGAGGCCACCGTCCGTTCCCTGTGCTCCCCCTGAGCCACGGCGGAAGCAGGGGCTCCTCCCACATCATCCCCGGCAGGCAGCGCTTCCGCTCTCCGCTCCCTGGTTAGCCTGGTACTGACACGTGAAGAACCATTTGGCTCGTTAAGAATATTTATTGGTTGGGTCTAGGACTTATTTTTCAAAGTAAAAAGTCTAATGATTTCTTTAAGTATTTGTGGCTGTTTAAACACGTTCTTTTTATATTAAATACACGGTCATGTCAATTGTTTGCACAAGTGTAAAGATTTAGCAGTTGGTGATATTGTGACTTGTTTGATGAATGTGTTATTAGGCCTTAGCGTTGACGCCACATTGTTTTCTAACTCCGATAAAGGCCGAGTGGGTCCTGGTAAGTTGCAGGTTCTGCCACACGGTCTGCCTGCGTTTGAATCTTGGCTCTTCCATGTACATTACCTGTGGGACATTGGCAGATGATTGATCATCTCTTTTTGGGTTTCTTCATCTGTAAAACAGGATGATGGTAATGAAACCTGTGTAAATTACTGTGTATGAGCTATTAATATGTGTGTGTGGTGAGGGTAAGTGCATGCTGCGTATTTTAATAATTCTTGTTATTGGTGCTATTTGTGTGGCACTTCCCAAGTGGCGCAGTGGTAAAAAATCTGTCGGCCAGTGCAAGAAATGCAGCTTCCCTCCCTGGGTCGGGAAGACCCCCCTGAAGAAGGGGAAATGGCAGCCCCCTCCAGTATTCTTGCCTGGAAAGTTCCACGAACAGAGGAGCGGGTGGTCTACCATCCATAGGGCCGCAAAGGATCAGACATGACTCAGCGACAGCACACACACGTGGCATTTCATGATGTGAAGTTGTTTGCGTTTTCTTTCATCACGGTTTTCTCTTTATTGTGGCAGCTTAGGTTTCTTCTTTGTCCCGAGGCTGCCTCTCCCTTCTGGTCTTCCATGGGCCTGCCTTCTTTCTGGTTCTGTGGGTAGTTTGCTGTGTGACTGGCTATCCCTTGAAGCACCTTCCTGTAGCCTCCCCCGGACACTGGGCTCCAGCCACCTGTTGCAATCCATGGTTTAGGACTCAAGTCCATGTGTGTCATTGAGATACAGCTCACATTCCGTAAAACTCGCCCCTTTCAGCATGCAGCTCTGTGTGAAACCTCTGTTTCCACTGGTAGATTAAGGGTGATTGACCTTCCTGTTTGGAGGGAGCGGAACTTGACAGTAAGTAACCAGACTCTCAGGCAGACTATCACAGTCACTGTGCAGCTCCTTAGACCACTCCTCCTTCACCTGGGGCGTAGCTGTGTGCCTGTCTCCTGCTAATTTTCTGCCTTAAACTCTGTCTTAATCATGTAGGCACGAGTTCTTCAACCAAGCGGAGCACTTCCACAGGTAATAAAGAGTCCAGTTCTACTAGAGAAAGATTACGTGAACGTACCCGACTAAACCAGAGCAAAAAACTACCTTCTGCAGGTCAGGGGGCTAATGACGTGGCGTCGGCCAAACGCTCACGCAGTCGCACGGCTGCAGAATGCGATGTCCGCATGAGCAAGTCTAAGTCGGACAATCAAATCAGCGACAAAGCTGCTCTGGAGGCCAGAGTGAAGGATCTTCTCACCTTGGCCAAAACCAAGGACGTGGAGATTTTACATCTGCGGAGCGAGCTCCGGGACATGCGTGCTCAGCTGGGCATCAGCGAGGACCCCCTCCCTGAGGGCGACGAGAAGTCCGAGGAGAAGGAGGTCAGCGCCGCCCACCCACCCACTGACGTGGAGTCCACGCTGCTGCAGCTGCAGGAACAGAACGCCGCCATCCGCGAGGAGCTCAACCAGCTGAAGAACGAGAACCGGATGCTGAAGGACCGGCTCAACGCTCTGGGCTTCTCCCTGGAGCAGAGGCTGGACCATTCCGAAAAGCTGTTTGGTTATCAGTCACTGAGCCCAGAGATCGCCCCGGGTAACCAGAGCGATGGTGGGGGGACGCTGGCCTCCTCGGTGGAGGGCTCGGCCCCTGGCTCGGTGGAGGACCTGCTGAGCCAGGATGAGGGCGCGCTCATGGGCCGCCAGCACATGGACATCAGCAACTCCCTGGACAACCTGGGCAGCGAGTGCAGCGAGGTGTGCCAGCCCCTCACGTCCAGCGACGACGCCCTGGACGCGCCCTCGTCCTCGGAGTCAGAAGGCGTCCCGAGCCTGGCGCGCTCGCGCAAGGGGAGCAGCGGGAACGCCAGCGAGGTGTCCGTCGCGTGCCTGACGGAGCGCATCCACCAGATGGAGGAGAACCAGCACAGCACGAGCGAGGAGCTGCAGGCCACGCTGCAGGAGCTGGCCGACCTGCAGCAGATCACCCAGGAGCTGAACAGCGAGAACGAGCGGCTGGGCGAGGAGAAGGTGATCCTCATGGAGTCCCTGTGCCAACAGAGCGACAAGCTGGAGCACTTCAGCCGGCAGATCGAGTACTTCCGCTCCCTCCTGGACGAGCACCACGTGTCCTACGTCATAGACGAGGACGTGAAGAGCGGCCGCTACCTGGAGCTGGAGCAGCGCTACGTGGACCTCGCGGAGAACACCCGCTTTGAAAGGGAGCAGCTCCTTGGCGTGCAGCAGCACTTAAGCAACACCCTGAAGATGGCCGAGCAGGACAACAAAGAGGCGCAGGAGATGATCGGGGCGCTCAAGGAGCGCAGCCACCACATGGAGCGCGTCGTCGAGTCCGAGCAGAAGGGCAAGGCGGCCTTGGCCGCCACGCTGGAGGAGTTCAAAGCCACTGTGGCCAGTGACCAGATCGAGATGAATCGCCTGAAGGCCCAGCTGGAGAACGAGAAGCAGAAAGTGGCGGAGCTGTACTCTATCCATAACTCTGGAGACAAGACTGACATTCAGGACCTCCTGGAGAGTGTCAGGCTGGACAAAGAGAAAGCAGAGACTCTGGCCAGTAGCCTGCAGGAAGACCTGGCCCACACCCGGAATGATGCCAACCGGCTGCAGGACACCATCGCAAAGGTACTGTTTAAGTAGATAGAGGGTTCTGGAGCCGCGTGACCTGGCTGTAGTACACGGCATGCCTCCCGAGAGCCGGCAGCCCCAGTGGTGTGTCACTAGCTTTTCCTAAGCTGGTGTTTTTCTAAGCTCCTTGTATTGGGGTGGAGTGAAGTGTTCTTGTAATGATCTCACTTCCACTCTTACTTTTTCACTGTGGTCCTGTGCCTGTGAAAGGTTAAGGCTAGAGTCACGCCTGACAGAAGGTGTCCCCAGTTTGTTATGGAGCCTGACGTGTCTGGGGAGCATGTCATGCAGAGTCACAGTGCCCTCACGGCTGTAGTTTGACACAAGAAAAACGGAGAGCCAGAATTCCAGTCTGTGGAGTCAGCAGTGTCTGCCTCTTCTTCTCCTTCTGTGGTGTGGTTTTTCAAGTAGAGTTCTATGAGTTTGGGTTAAGCTGCTGTGCCATTTGTATGAGAGTCTGTTGTTGATAATGTAAATCTTAATTTTTTTTAAGGGATGACTTTCAGAGATACAGTTTAGGAGATATATTTGTTGGTGCATACATGTATGGGGGCCCCCATGAACTAACAGTTTTAACAGTATTTGAGAATTTTTGGTTTCTGTTTTTAATTTGATATTGAAACAGAAAGCAGACATCATTTTTGTGGGAAAGCATGTTAATCATTGATCAGATGCATGCCTTCAGTCCAAACTTTGGAGAAGGGAAAACTTCCAAAACGTCTTCGTAAGTGCCGTAGCGAGGTTCGGCGTGACGTCAGCGTGAGTTCAGTGGTGTGGTGGCGCGCCATGCTTAAGCGTGTTGTGTGATGTCCGAGTCACTGGGTGCCCACAGTGGTCACATGGTCCTCCTTGCTCTCGCAGAGCAGTGCCCACTTCGCTCCCAGCCCAGGCGGCCTGTGCCTCCGTCCTGGAACTTAGCTCAGAATAGCACTCACTTTCCTGATCTGCGCCATCGATTTCACACAGGTAGAAGACGAATACCGAGCCTTCCAAGAGGAAGCTAAGAAGCAAATAGAAGATCTGAACATGACCTTAGAAAAATTACGATCAGAGTTGGAAGAAAAAGAGACAGAAAGGAGCGACATGAAAGAAACAATCTTTGAACTTGAAGACGAAGTGGAACAGCACCGGGCAGTGAAGCTTCACGACAACCTCATCATCTCTGACTTAGAGAGTAAGTGAGGTCCACCCCCCCACCCCCCGACACATGGGACAGTGCACGCTCATCTCCAACTTAGAGAGTAAGTGAGGTCCCCCCCCCCCGACACATGGGACAGTGCACGCTCATCTCCGACTTAGAGAGTAAGTGAGGTCCCCCCCCCGCGACACATGGGACAGTGCACGCTCATCTCCGACTTAGAGAGTAAGTGAGGTCCCCCCCCCGCGACACATGGGACAGTGCACGCTCATCTCCGACTTAGAGAGTAAGTGAGGTCCCCCCCGACACATGGGACAGTCCACGCTCATCTCCGACTTAGAGAGTAAGTGAGGTCCCCCCCCCGACACATGGGACAGTGCATGCTCATCTCCGACTTAGAGAGTAAGTGAGGTCCACCCCACCCGACACATGGGACAGTGCACGCTCATCTCCGACTTAGAGAGTAAGTGAGGTCCCCCCCCGCGACACATGGGACAGTGCACGCTCATCTCCGACTTAGAGAGTAAGTGAGGTCCCCCCCGACACATGGGACAGTGCACGCTCATCTCCGACTTAGAGAGTAAGTGAGGTCCCCCCCCCGACACATGGGACAGTGCACGCTCATCTCCGACTTAGAGAGTGAGGTCCCCCCCCGCGACACATGGGACAGTGCAAGCTCAGGACGGACGGGTGGGACAGCTCTGTGGGCAGGGCTCCGAGGCAGCAGCGCCGTGGCCGGGCCAACATGTGTGGGCTGCAGCCCCCGGCACCGCCGTCGCCGCTGTCTCACTCCTGAAGGGCTGTCACACAGAGGCCTCACTTTAAAGCTGCTTCACTATGAAAAGGCATCTAAGTGAGATGGTAATGGGGTTGTTAACTTTCTAGATCTTAGGAAAAGCTGTTTATCATCAACCTCTAGTGGTTGCAAGTGTAGTGAGACCAAAAACTATTGCTCTTCAGGCCTACAGCACATTTTTTTTTTTGCATTTTTTTGTTTATCTGTTTAATTTTCCTCTTTTCCATGAAGATTTTATGGTCAGGTAGATTTGGAACTAGGATTTTGAGTTGCTCTGTTTGCTTTTTAAAAGATTTTTAAAAACTATTTTGTAGTTATTTCAGACTTACAAAAAAAAGTTGCAAAAGTAGGACTAGCATTTCTGTGTGGAAAATTGGATGAAGAATGGGAGTTTCCATGATCCTCTCACAGACTGTTTACTATGTTGCAAGTGAGGAAAAAGTATGCAGTGGAACAGTTGGGCAGCCCTGTGACAGGGCCGCGTGGACATGGCCAGGCCACACTCTGGCTGAGCCGCGACTTCAGCCAGTTGTAAAGAAACATTAAAGACGGGAGATGAGGAGTGTTGTGCTGGAAGCCCAGGACTGAGTGGGGCTGAGTCTCCAGAGATGCCGGTGTCATGAAGGGCTGAGGCTGAGCAGAGTCCCAGGCTAGAGGGCTGGGGGCGGGCCAGCCTCTGCTCCCTTGCCTGCTGGGCCCCCGGCTGCCCTCAGGGTGTGGGGACAGACGTCGGCATAAGCGCACGAGGTGGACAGCCCACTGGGCCTGAGTGTTGGTAGGGACCACACACTGCGTTATGCCAGGGTGAGGGACATGGCGTATGTACTTAAGGAGGGAGAGACGACAGGCAGACAGATGGGCAGGGAGCGGAGACAGCAGGTTATGGAGCACGGCACGGCACACCGTTACGGTCGGCAAGGCTGAATAAAGGTAGCGGGTGTTCAGGTCCTGGTCCTTGTGCTATTTCTTGTATCTTTTTGTAACTTTCAAGTTATTTCCAAATGATACATTTAAAAAGTTCTTATGTATTCTTTACCTGGATTCCTTGACTGTTAACAAATTTTAAGTTGTAATGCCTGCAAAGGATGGCCTGGTGGGGATGGGCAGGATGGAGGTAACCTTTCTGGATGCCTTGGTTGTTTTTAAGTCACCCAATAGTAATCGACTCTTTGTGACCCCATGGACTGCAGCATGCCAGGCTTCCTTGTCCTTCACCATCTCTCAGACATTGCTGAAACTCATGTCCATTGAGTCAGTGATGTCATCCAACCATCTCATCCTCTGTCGTCCCCTTCTCCTCCTGCCCTCAATCTTTCCCACCATGAGGGTCTTCTCCAATAAGTTGGTTCTTTGCATCAGGTGGCCAAAATATTGGAGCTTCAGCTTCAGTCCTTCCAGTGACTATTCAGGGTTAATTTCCTTTAGAATTGACTAGTTTCATCTCCTTGCTGTCCAAGGAACTCTCAAGAGTCTTCTCTAGCACCACAGTTCGAAGCATTAATTCTTTCGCACTTATTAGCCTTCTTTATGGTCCAATTCTCACATCTGTACATGACTACTGGAAAAACCATAGCTTTGACTAGATGGATGTTTGTGGGCAAAGTGACATCTCTGGTTTTTAATATGCTGTCTAGCTTTTTGTCCAAGGAGCAAGCATCTTTTAATTTCATGTCTGCAGTCACCATCCACAGTAGTTTTGGAGCCCAAGAAAATAAAGTCTGTCATGGTTTCATTTTTTCCCCCATCTATTTGCCATGGAGTGATGGGACTAGATGTCATGATCTTAGTTTTTTTTTAAATGTTGAGTTCTAAGTCAGCTTTTTTGCTCTCCTCTTTCACCTTCATCAAGAGGCTCTTTAGTTCCTCTTTGCTTTCTGTCATTAAGGTGGTGTCGTCTCCATATCTGAGGTTATTGAAATTTCTCCCAGCAGTCTTGATTCCAGCTTGTGATTCATCCAACCTGGCATTTCACGTGATGTATTCTGCGTAGAAGTTAAATAAGCAGGGTGATGCTACACAGTCTTGATGACATACTCCTTTCCCAGTTTGGAACCAGTGCATTGCTCCATGTCCGGTTCTAACTTGTTTCTTGACCTGCATACAGGTTTCTCAGGAGGCAGGTAAGGCAGTCTGGAATTCCCATCTGTTTAAGAATTTTCCACAGTTTGTTGTGATCCACACAATCAAAGGCTTTAGTGTAGTCAGTGAAGCAGAAGTAGATATTTGTCTGTGATCCAACGGATGTTAGCAGTTTGACCTCTGGTTCCTCTTGTATGTCTGTACATGTTGTAAATCCAGCTTGTACATCTGAAAATTTTCGGTTGATGTACTGTTGAAGCCTAACTGGAAGGATTTTGAGCATTACCTATCTAGCATGTGAAATGAGCACAGCTGTGTGGCAGTTTGAACATTCTTTGGCCTTTCCTTGGGATTGGAATGAAAGCGGACCTTTACCAGCCTTGGTTAGAGCTGTTGACATTTTGGGTCCTGCTTCTTTGCGGACCAACAGGCGATGCAACATGGAACTGGAGCACCTGTGCCGTGGGTGCGGCAGTGGGGGGGGCGGGGGGCTACTCCCAGGAGAGGGGGGTTGTTTGCAGGAGCCCTAAAGCTGTCTGGTGGTGATTCTGAGCTCTGGCTGGTTGACCTGGCATTTGTAGGACGACCCCTCAGTTCTATTCAGACTATTCCCAAGTGTGTGGATACTGAAGTGGCTGGTGAGACTGTATTCTTGAAAGACATAGTGATGCACTTTTTCATCTAAAGTTTTAGAAAACTTTTAGTTTAACATTTATGTCATTTGTATTTCATTGTCTCTGAACTGAGAGAGATATTGCATTTTACTTCCTAAATACAGATGGTTCTAAAGTTTCAGATTAACTTGGGAGTCCAGTGTCTTCCTTTTAGTACAGATAATAAATAGACTTTCCCTTGCAAACCTTTTTCTGTGAATGTGAAGAGTGACACCTTGTGGTAATTGGGGTGATAGCTAGAGAAATGTTAGGTTTCCAGGGACAAAATTTTCCATATCACTGCCGAAATAAAAATTACATAAACAGGGTACGGATTTTAATTATAAAGTGTTTTATTTTGTATTTGGGTATTGCTGATTATGCAAACAGTAATAGGCTTTATTTTCTTGGGCTCCAAAATCACTGCAGATGGTGACTGCAGCCATGAAATTAAAAGACTCTTGCTTCTTAGAAGAGAAAGTATGACCAACCTAGACAACATATTAAAAAGCAGGGACATTACTTTGCTGACAGAGGTCCGTCTAGTCAAAGCTATGATTTTTCCAGTAGTTACGTATGGATGAGAGGGTTGGACCATAAAGAAAGCTGAGCACCGAAGAGCTGATGCTTTTGAACTGTGGTGTTGGAGAAGACTCTTGAGAATCTCTTGGACTGCAAGGAGATCCACCCAGTGAATCCTAAAGGAAATCAACCCTGAATAGTCACTGGAAGGACTGATGCTGAAACTAAAGCTCCAATACTTTGGCCACCTGATGCGAAGAACTGACATATTGGAAAAGACCCTGATGCTGGGAAAGATTGAAGGCAGGAGGAGAAGGGGACAACAAAGGATGAGATGGTTGGATGGCATCACTGACTCGATGGACATGAGTTTGAGCAAGCTCCGGGAGTTGGTGATGGACAGGAAGCCTGGCGTGCTGCAGTCCACGGGGTCGCAAAGAGTTGAACCTGACTGAGTGACTGAGCTGAACTGATAGCTGATTAACGGGCTTCCTGGTGGCTCAGTGGGTGAAGAATCTGCCTGCAGTGCAGGAGACACAGCTTCAGTCCCTGGACCAGGAAGACCCATTGGAATAGGGAATGGCAGCTCGATTCAGTATTCTTGCCTGGAATGACACGGACGGAAGAGCCTGGTGGGCTGTAGTCCGTGGAGTTGCGGAGTCAGAAGTGACTGAGGGCGAGCCCAGAAACGACTGCTGACTGGCAGTGTTGTGACGGCTCCGGGTGGACGGCAGGGGACGCGGCAGAGCGCGCGTGCGTCCGCTCCGCCGTGCAGGCTGCCGCTTCCCACTGAGCAGCGCTCCCCGTGCTGCACAGCAGGTCCTTGCTGGCGCTCCGTTTCACATATACAGTGCGTGCATGTCCCGTTTTATGAAATAAAAAGTTGAAACATGCAGAAGTACCTGGAGAGTTGTTTTGCAGTTAGCACCTTCTGCCTGGATGCAGCAGTCAGTAGCGTTTTGTAGCGTTTGCCTTCTGAGTGTGTG